CTGATGAGAAAGATAGTAAAGAAGGTGGAAAGAAATCTGATGAGAAAGATAGTAAAGAAGGTGGAAAGGAATCTGATGAGAAAGATATTAAAGAAGATGGAAAGAAATCGGAATCGGGTGACAGGGATAGTAAAGAGGATCCAAACAAATCTGATGACAAACATAGTAGAAACATTGACAAGAAATCTGATGAGAGAAATAGCAAGCAGAACGAAAAGAAATATTACGATGAAGATAGCCGTGAAGACTCAAACAAATCTGGTAGCAAAGATAGTAAAGAAAATGGGAAAGAATCTGGTGGTAGTAAAGAAGATAAAAGAAAATACGAAGACAAAGAATATAAAGAAAATGTTGAAGAACCAGGTAATAAAGATATTAAGGAAAATTTAAAGAGTGAAGATGACAAAGAGACCACCGGTGATAAAGAAGATGTAATAGGTTCTAATGAGAAAGGTAGTGAGGAAAACATCTCTAGCTCGGACGAAAAAGAAACAAAGACGATATTCAAGAAAATTCACAAGTAAACCCTACATATAGGGATGATAGCAAATTAGATAGTAAGCATACTTCAAAGAAAGGCTCAAAAGAAATAAAAGAAAGCAAGTATGTTTCAAAAGAGCGATCACAAGAAAAAGGAGATAACAAACAAGCTTCACTGTAAAGCTCTGAGGAGAAAGAGAGCAAGCATGATTCAAAAGAAAGCTTTAAAAAACAAGATGAAAGCAAACCTGTTACAAAAGAACAATCACAAGAAAACGAAGATAGCAAACAAGCTTCAAGGGAAAGCGCTAGGGATAAAGAGAGCGAACATGGTTCAAAAGAAAGCTCAAAAGAAAAAGACAAAAGCAAGTATGTTTCAAAAGAAATATCAAGAGAAAAAGAAGATAGCAAGCAAGCCTCGAAAGAAAAATCAAAAGAAAATGAAGACAGCAAACAAGCTTCAAAGGATAGCTCAAAGAGTACAGATAGTAAACAGGATTCAAAAGAGAGTTCAAAAGAGAAACAATATGGTAAAAAGAATTCCAAGGAAATTTCCAAAGAAAAGGACGATAGTGAGCATTCTGCAAAGGAAAGTTTAAAAGACGAAAGAGATAGCAATAATGTTTCCAAAGAAAATTCGAAAGAGAAAAATAGCAAGCATAGTTCAAACGAAAGCTCAAAGAAGAACGACAGCAAATACGGTTCAAAAGAAAGTTCAAAAGAAAAAGAAGGTGGTAAAAAAGCTTCAAAAGAAAACTCAAAAGAAAAAGAAGAAAGCAAGCATGTTTCAAAAGAAAAAACAAACGAAAAAGAAGATAGCAAACAAGCCTCAAAGGAAAGCTCGTGGGAGAAAGATAGTAAACTTGGTTCAAAACAAAGCTCAAAAGAAAAAGACAAAAGCAAGCATGCGTCAAAAGAAAGATCACAAGAAAAAGAAGGTAGCAAACAAGCTTCAAAGGAAAAGTCAAGGGTGAAATATAACAAAAGTGGTTCACAAGAAAAGTCAAAAGAAAATGAAGATAGCAAACAAGTCTCAAAGGAAACCTCGTGGGAGAAAGATAGTAAACTTGATTCAAAACAAAGCTCAAAAGATAAAGGAAATGGCAAAGAAGCTTCAAAAGAAAAATCAAAAGAAAAAGATGAAAGCAGGCATGTTTCAAAAGAAAGATCGAAAGAAAAAGAAAATAGCAAAGAAACTTCAAACGAAAGATCAGAAGAAAAAGAAGATAGCAAACAAGCTTCGAATGAAAGCTCGAGGGAGAAAGATAGTAAACATGGGTCAAAGGAAAGCTCAAATGAGAAAAATAGCAAACGAGGCTGAAAAGCAAGCTTAAAAGAGAAAAAAGATAATAAAATGCGTTCAAAAGAAAGCCCAAAAGAAAAAAACCAAAACAAATGAAACTACATACTTCATATATTACAAACTAAATTCAAACGAAAGTTCTCAAAAGATTTAAAAAATAACCAACAGCCTTCAAAAGGAGACTGGGAAGAGAAAGAATGTAGTAAAATGATTAAAAAGACAGGTCAATTCTCTTTATATAACAAATTCAAAAGAGAAAGGTACAAAACATGGTTTAAGAGGAAGTTTACAAGATAAAGGATAGTGAAAAAAGAAAATGAAGAAAAACATCTCGACTTTAGTTCAAGACAGATGAGTAGTCTTTCATTAAAAGCAAGACAAAATATGCTTTAAGTTCATAATAATAATAACTTCATAACCCTAAAAATGGACGAGCGTCTGATTCCACCGTGCCATGACACATATTATGATACATGTTATGCAACCTTCGTCGAAGGGGGTCTAGGGAACCAGCGTCTGTGGTGTTGCAATTAGAAACTTCCCTGTCGTGCGCAGGAGACCTGCGTTAGATTCCGGTGGGGCAATATCTTTATCCAGTATCTCGGTCTTTGTCTAGCTCTTGGGGCGTTGACCCTCTCGGTAAGGACCCGCCTTGGCAGGCAGGGTTGAAGCCCGCCTCCTGGTGTAAGTAAGTGTATAGATTTAACGCCACTATCAACACCATAAGGCTGGGGTTTTTTTAGAGACGGATCCTCCGAATGTAAAGTTCGTCTCCGATAGGAACGAGCAAAATTTACTGAAAGTTTTAAAAACTCCTCAATACGACTTGAGTTCAAGAACGCATAGTATGGGATTCGAACCGCATTCCAACTGAGCTAACGGAGCGCCCACCCGCCTCCTAAATGATCTAATTTGTGCTGAATGGGACGTAACAACTTACATTTAAAACGTCGACTGTTGCGTAATAGTTTGGCTCTTCTTCATAATTTTTGCATTTAAGAATAGAGAAGATGGCAGATCGAATTCTAAGAATTACATAATATAGTATAGTCCTAATATGTACTCAACTCGTTATGTCCAGCTACGACAATATGGCACACTTTTTACCAGAGCCAAAGTGCAATGTTGTTGTTTATGCATTTTGAATGACCGTTATAAACGTAATTATATCAGCTACGATAATGTTGTCTTGTTATAGATTCAGTAGCAAATGTGTATCTGATTTACGTTATTATTTTAAAATACAAGGTAGTCCAAAAAAACCCACAACTTTACAACATTTTTCTGAATATCCCATACAAAAGATGTTCCTGGATGTTATTTGGAACAGACGTTATTCATTCAAAAGGAATTCGTTTGTTATAAAAATCATAAAGATTTCGGAAAACGAAAACGGCTTAAAGAAAAGAACACCCATGAACGCAAAATATAACAATTAAAAAATCTTTTAAAGAAAAAATCATGAACCGACTGGTTTGCTTTTTCGTTCCTTTTCTTTATAACATTTAATTTTCCGTCCTGGAACATTAAAACAACAATTCAATTCTCTTACTGAATTTCTTATTTTAAATGACCTTGTTGTTTTAGTCATTCTCAGAGCCAATGCTCTATATTATGTCCTCCGTTGAATTTCAAACATTTTTTAAGCGTCGTTCGGGACGTCCAAAGATAAGGACCCGCCAAACCATGAATAGTTAAAACCGCACACACTGTACATTTTTCGTTATAAAGTGTCCTTGAAATATGTGAGGCAGCGTGGTGGAATCAGGCTCTCGTCAAAATAATTAAAGTGAAGAAACTTGCATTTTTCCGCAGGTTTGTAAATTTTTATCAAATTTTTGTTTTTTGGCTCAACACCTTTCATGCCCATTAAATAACTCATTTCTGAGCGGATTTTCTGAAAAACGTTGAATAAAGGCACACAAAAATTAAAATTATCAGTTACCACGGACTCTTAAGCTAAGGAAATAACTAATCTTTGGCCGCCATTTTCTCAATAAATTTACCTCTGAAAACAAGTGACCGCCACCTCCTTCTTTCGCAAATGTCTCGACTTGTATTCAAGATAAATGTATATTTTTTTTCATCCAAATAAAGATAAGTGAACAAGTTTTAAGATGATACCAATAACTCTAAATGCTAAAAAATGACGAGAGCCTGATTCCACCACGTTGCCTCACATATGATAGGGCGTGGGTGGGGTGCCCAATAGATAACGTTTGTGGTGTTTACATATCCTGAAAGGTGACAATGGGCCCTGCCACTGAACCCAACGCCATTGAAGAAATGTTCACGCTTTTCTAGACGACCGAGGAACCGTGAGCACATTGCCATACTCTGATCTATGTCAACCTTACGGACATGAAAATAATACTATCAAAGGTGACGATCTATCTTGAGAAAGCGGATCGTTGAGGTGTAGGAAAGACAGACGTCTCATGGGACTCCACTACTGAATTATGTATCCTGGTGACATTTAAAGGGGTGCAAACGGTGCGTTATCGACCTGTCTTGGTTGTTCCGTCTAGGAATTTTACTTATTCTCTATAGATTCAAACTGACGGAACGTCTCTACATATGACATCAAAGAAGGCCTTGGGGGGGGGGGGGTGCATTTTAGCTTTCTTTCCGTACCTTGTTCGAAAATTACGTAGTGTCGGGGATGATGAGTTGGAAGCGAGCGGGCAGTACTGCATACAGACGTTAGTCATTTTTGGCGGCCTTTGAAATCCGTCTGTATGCAGTACTACCCGCGTATGCTCAATACAAAAAAAACCCCTCTGTTCTTTACCAAACTTAACTACGATCTCAGCAGGCAAAGGAAACTAGAGAAAAACAATACCTGCACAGTTCTGTTGACTTGTTAGCCAAGTGTAGCCTGCAAAATGACGCGATCGTTGCGATTTAGAGTAACTCTTTGTGGCTGTCCTTATGCAAACATGGGAGTCATGCTACACAAATGGAGACAAGGCAAAAACATGGGTTGTTTTCTTTTGCGTTGTACAGAGCAAAACTATTCTGTAGAACTTTCTACAATGAATACCAAACAACTTCCTTATGGCTGCCAAATAGTGCGTTCAAATTGGAAACACAAAGCACCAGTGTGGAGGAAAATATTTTCAAAAATTAATTTTGTAACATTGTTTTCGGATTACCCTGCACATGGTAGGAAAATTCGATGCTTTTTGGTCGGGTGAGGGAGAGAGCGAGAGAGAGAGAGAGAGAGAGAGAGAGAGAGAGAGAGAGAGAGAGAGAGAGAAAGAGAGGGACAAAGAGAGAGAGAGAGAGAAAGAGAGAGAGAAAGAAAGAGAGAGAGAGATTGAGAGAGACCGAGAGAGACTAAGTCAGACAGTCAGACAGACAGACAGACAGACAGATCGTCTTTGGTCATTAGATTTTAGGAGTCTGGTGTTAGGTGTAAGAATGTTTTCCCCTAAAATATACGACTTACAGAAAGACAAAAAAGCAGACAGAAAAGACTTTAAAAAATGATAAAACGGATAATAAAAACTGACTGACTGGCATGGGCAGACAAAAATATAGACAGACAGAAATCTCTAATAAAAGAAAAAAAGAAAGACTTGTTCAAATAACTTATCATTATCGATATCCAAAAGATATTGATGGTATTCATCACTGCCTTCTTTCATAATGAGTAATTATTTTTTAATTGATACTCAACATGAAAATGTAAAGTACTTGGAGGACTTTTTTCCGATTCAGCGGTCATCTGGGTTCTTGCCCTTTGGCCTCTAATGTGCATTGACCAAAGCGCAGCCTGACCTGACCTGACCTCGGCCAGACCTGACCGTGGCCAGTTTTTATAACAGCCCTCTGGCTTGACACACCCATTCTTTTCAGAGTGATTTCCCTAAGGCGAACAAGTTCGTTTCAAAATGTTTGTATTGTTTCGAGCTTCCACATTTTGGCTTCTGGTGTGTGTATGTTTGTTGTTTAAGTGTGTGTGAGGGGAGGGGGGTGTCACGGGACATGGCCTCAGTGTGGGGCTTGAGATTAGGCGATACAAGTAGGCATCTCCTGATCTGTTATTGCAATTTCTTTTCCGGTCATTCAGTAGCACCAGCATAGCCTCACGATGACTGTTTTAACTGGTCATAACAAGAGGAAAATAATGTAACCATAGTCTCACCCCCGCCCCCCCCAAAAAACAAACAAACGGTACACACTCACGACTGCTGTTCGCTCCTGTGCCATGATTATTGATAAACAGTAGTATTATGATAACAGTATAGTATTCACCATGTTCGCTTGTCACTTTTGATGAGATGCTTATTAATAGTGACTTTGTTTTGTACATAGGGCCTGTACGATGTTGTGTTCTTTTGAAATAGGCATGTTACTTCAATGTTAACCATTGTTGTTGTTTTGTTTTTTCAATCCAATACATTTTTTTGGGCTGTTGTTACTATTATCTGTTGTTTGTTGTTGTTGTTGTTTTTGTTGTTGTAGGTTTTTTTAGTTGTTGTTTTTTTTGGGGGGATGTGGTTTCGTTGGCAGAGTATTTTTGTTGTTGTCGTAATTGTTGCTGCATGGATGTGAGTTGTGCTTGTTATTGTTGTGGTGGTATTATTATGTTTAAATTTTCTTTTCTGGTGTCTTCCAATGCACCAAGTAAACTTACTGGTATTGTAAATAGATGTATTCATGTCTTAAGAATAAAAATGAACAAACAATGTACCTGTTTTAATAACGCGTTTTATGACACGTATACAGTGTATCCTTAGTACATACTGCAAGAGAAATTCAGGTGTGTTTCTGTTCTGGCTACTTGATCTTGTAATAACGCAAAAGCAGATATGCCTAATAAATCCTGACTTGGGGCATTTACACAAAACGTTGGGAATCGTGCAAAAGAGCAACAGTCAAACGAAAAAGAAAAAACAGTGTCAATCGTTTTTATATCAACATAGCAAGCCAGTTACCTATGATCAATCTTGTATGCATTTGGTGGGTTTTGTGTTTGTACAAATAGATTTGGGTCTCTGCAGAAAACATTGGTACCTTCTTATTGTGGCAAGTACGTCAAGAAAAGACACACAGAGAGTGAGAGAGACAGAGAGAGAGAGGGAGAGAGAGAGAGAGAGAGAGAGAGAGAGAGAGAGAGAGAAAGAGAGAGAGAGAGAGAGAGAGAGAGAGAGAGAGAGACTAATCTAAGAAAACCAAAAGTTAAGTTCTACAGACAACGTTAAGTGTTTCTTTACGAATATTAATTGAAGCTTGTATAATTACATAATTTTATATATTTATAAATTTGTGTTTTAAAACATTAATTTTTTAATTAATTATTTTTTTTTTTTTTGGGGGGGGGTGGCTGCGGTTAGACTCCTGGAGTTGCAGCTGCTAGGTTGTATTCTTTAAAAGAATTATTTGCAAATTGAAACCTGAATGAAAAGTAATTTACTTCCTCGTCGACAAGTTGCAGCATTTAGGAAGTGGGCTACTTCGACCCTGCCTGCTAGGACTGGGCGTATTGGAGCGGTATACAACATAGCAGAGAGATGGAGATGCTCGATAAAGGAACTACCACTCTTGAGAATCGAACGAACGTCTTCTGCGCGCTACGTCGAAGGGGTAACTATGGTGCCACAACCGCTGGTGTACCTTGAAACAAAGTAATAATGAAATAAATAGCATTTGTACAGCGCACATTCCCGCTCAGCATCGAGGTGCGGGCCCTTTACAATTTATGTTATTACCCCAACAGACCAGATTGCATACTGAATAATCCCATTTCATGGAAAGCATATAGTGCAAGCTGCCATTTTAGAGGCGCTAAAACACTAACCTTCCTCTGTCTATGGCCGGGTACCCATTCTCACCTGGATGGAGTGGGGAAAATTCGTGTGAAGTGCCTTTCCCAAGGACACAACGTCGGGCCTGAGCCACGAACCTCCAAACCGCCAACATCACGAGTAGGAGTCCGATATCTTGACCACAAGGCAACCGACGCCACAAACTGAACGACCTAGTCTTGCTGTAGATGCATCATTAATTGTATCAATTCTTTGCTTGTATTAATCAAACTGAAAACAATTGACAGGCTTAACAGAATATTGCACAGAGCGTGTAATCCACTTAATGTGATCTCAACATTGTGATCACATCGGAAAGGGATTTTTGCACTATGGGCTGGGCCCGCTTCATTGCTTGTGTTAGCTATACAAGAGAGGACTTCCTTTCTTCATGTGTTCACTCACTTTACGTATGAAATTGGAACCACTTTCCACTTTTGCCTCGTTTGTTTATGATTGAAAAGGATCGTTTAAAAAAAAGAACAACAACCAACACTCAAAACAAAACAAAAAACATAAAATGTCAACAAGCTGAAAACCAGCCACTCAAATCAAAACTACCTTATGGGAATGGGGAGGTTTGATTGGTACGCTATGCGAAGGGGTCTCTTTTTTCCTCTTCAGTGGTCAAGTGCATGTCTAAATTGCGCATTGATTGATCTAAATTTGGCAGTGCAATATGATTATCAATGCAAGATACTGTATTGGCGTTTTTTGAACGTACTCACGCAATGC